AGGACAAACACATTTATTGGCAGAAAGAAGGAAATAAAGTATTATGTTTTGGGTTTAGAGTTGTGTCACAAATACTGTTACAAGTAATAAGAGGAATCCAAGTAATTAAAATATTATTCATAATTGACTGATAAATTTACATGAGATAATATGTCCCAATATAAGCCAACTATTTCTTGAAGGGCACTAAGAAAGGTACATAGTGTTGGGAGAGATGGGAGAGAATGATGAGAGGGGTACTATTGACCAAGATGCATTGTACTCACAAATTGGGATGTTGAATTGAAATCCCTTTGTTCAGCTATTACAGATAATACCTATAAAAAATTAGAAGACATTATTTTACTCTATTTCTAGATCAAAACTTGAAATTCCTCCATTTTTATTTTTATTTGCTCCATTGCAAAGAAGACAAATGATATTGTCATAGTTCCAGACAACACCCTCACTGTTCTATATCTGAGCTTTCCTTACAGGAAGAGAGTACATAGCTTTCATCAGATTCTCTGACATCTCTGTAAATCAAAAAAAGTATGAGAAGCACTGTTTCATACTCCAAGTACCATGAGTGCAGAAACTATGCCTGTCTGTCTGTATAGCAACTCACAAGACAAGTGGTTGGATGGAAGAATATACTAATGGATGAATATGATAAATGGATGGCCCCCATATGAATTCTCCTGCAGCTAGTCAGTTTTTCCCTTCAGAAATCTTCATTGACCCCACAACAGCTATAATTTAAGTCTAAACATCTTCCTATACACTGCATCCCATGAATTAGTCCAATGGTTCTCAACAAGTGACATTTTTTCCCTCAAGAGATATGTACCAATTTGACTGTCAAAACTAGATGCTACCTGCATCTAATGAATAATTCTACTGAACAACATATAGATACACAGACTGATGCCACTTGAAAATAGTACCTCCATGGAGAAATCTGGACCTAGTCCCTGACAAATATTTAGAACATCATTTGCCACTAATTACTATCCTGTTCCATGCTTAAGAAATCCTAGATCATACTTCCCTACTCTCATGTGGTTTCATGTTGCTGTGATTTTGCTCCTTCAGCCTCTTTTGCTGAGACAACTCATCTCACTTTGCTCCTTCTCTATATCTTTGATTAATCTTTCAAGTTAAGTTTACATTTCCCTTCCAGGAAACTTGTCTGAATCCTTCCTCTTTATTGGACATATATCTATCATGCCTGACCCATGCTATATTGAATGACATATTTCTGTATTTGCCTTCTAGCCGTTAACTGTTAAGCTAAGAATGGCAGAAAGTTGTTTTATTTGTATTTGTAATGGTGCTTAGCACATAAGTACTCAGAAAGCATTGAACTAGAAGATAAGAGATTGCAAAGACCTTCTTGGACAAAAAGAACAGCCTTTAGGTTGACTCAAAAATAGAGGGGCAGGACTAATGTGGTGAAAAAAGAGTAAAGAATGATGAATGAGGAACATAAGGACTAAGAAAACATCTGAAAATGGGGATGTTATTTTCTCAAATGAGTTTTTTTTTCCTCAAGCACATAAAGTAATCATCTTGGGTAAATTGTATGACACCTAGCAGACACCCTATAAATAGTTTTATTAATGGCCCAGATTAGTCATCCTGTAATTTTATAGGTGCTATAGATTTGGACCAACTCAATAAAAAGGGTAGCACTTGTTCACATTTAGGAAGTAGGATAACTAAAGAAAAATATTAAATTAATTACAGTGTAGTTGGTATAGGAGTAAGGCAAAAATCACGAAAATGGTAGAAGGATAACTGAAAGGGAACTACATTGAATATTGGTGAAACTAAGTTTCTTCCACTTCTGAAGATTTGCAACCATGAAACCATCATCAATATTAATACCACTAACAATCCAGTACTATGTACCAGACACTGGGCTGACTATATTACCATATCATGTAACATAAAAATTTTAATGTATGTACTATCATTAGTCTCTTTTGTTAGAGAGAAGGAATCCAGAGCTCAGCAGAATAACCTAATTTGCCCAGGGTTACACACAAGTTAAGGCAGGGAACTTGGAACAAAACAATTATAAAGACCCCAAGTATACAAATGATGCTTTGTATCTACAGTGTGGGATTAAGTTTGTAATTGAGGAAATTTCCGACTTCGTTTAATCAAAGGCTCATATTCGCATATTGCTTTTACACATAGATTTTTCCCTGTAGGATTCTGCTGCTTTATAAACTGATACTTAGGTCAGAATTAGCTGGATCTTTAAGCCAACCATGGGACTGGTTTGACCTGAAAGTCACTCCCTTCAAGGTACGTTTTCAATTAGCAGAGGAAGACACGGAGCTGACAAGGGCTGACAAGTGGACCACGCACTCCTTTCTGCTCAGGGTTATTTCTCAAGGAAGGTTGTTGGGAGATGGCCACATTCCACCAGCTGGAGGCTATGCCAATGACCTTTAACGCTAGTCTAATTTAAATACATTTTGACATTTCAAATAAATTAATGTATTTTTACAAGGTGGGGCAAGTACCACAGATTAGGCCAAATGGTTTGCCTGTGGCTGGGACACTAAGCAGAGTTTACAGAATATCACTGCTGTTCTTCAAGCTCTTTCTACTCCCATACCAAAAAGAAGTGTTTATCCTACCACCTCACCTCCCAAAAACATTTGGTCAAATGCTAGCAGCTCTCACAAGGTAACCTTCAGTCCATCTCCGTAGCATGTAATTCTGGAATACCTCTTCTCCTAATAGATGTAATTTTTGTTGTTGTTGTTCTGGAATGAGGCTTGGACGCAGGGCCTGGGCACTGTCCCTGAGCTTCTGTGCTCAAGGCTAACCTTCTACCACTTTGAGCCACAACGTCACTTTCAGCTTTCTATTGGTTAGTTGGCAATGAGTCTCACAGACTTTCCTGCCTGGGTTGCTTTCAAACCATGATCCTTAGATCTCAGGCTCCTGAGTAGCTAGGATTAAAGGTGTGAGCTACCAGCACCTGCCTATAGAAGCACATTTTAACAGCCAGGATCAGTTTAAAAACTGCCTTTCATTGTTAAAAAAGTGCCTTAATAGTAAATACTGGATTTCTACCCTGTGAATGTAAGGCACTATGTTCCTTGAAAATTTACCTGGAAATAGGAGTATTTAACTTCAGACAGACATAAAAGGAGCTGACAACCTAAAAGAGGTGGAAAGGTCCATCTTCTGAAAAGGCAGCCCCTTGACTACTAAGTAGCCACACATCTTTCATCTGGGCAGATTTCATAGACAAGCTGCCCTGCCAAATCAAATGGGAATTAAAGGAATTCTGTGTAGTTGGTATAGAATGTGTCTCAGAAGCCCAAAGACCACTTTAGTCACAGGAAAATGCCAGAGGGTGGCTTATTTGATGGAAAAGAAAACAAATAGGCGCAATAGCTGATGTATTTTTGAAGCAATATTAAATCTAATAAACATGACACCAATAGTATTGGCTTAAATCAGGGTGGGTGACTTAGAGAATTTAACAGCTTATTTTTTTCCACTAGCAGCTTTTCTCTCAGAGGCAGCCTTGATTGCTAAGAACAGTGTCAGAAACATGCTCCTTCTCTTGCTCCTGCCAGATGTGTGTTGTCCCTGGCCTCTGCCCTGGCCTTAGCTCCCAGAGTGGGGATAATTAGAATGTCATTTCTGCCAGGTTTGTTTTTTCTGGGTCACTGACCAGACTCTATTGAAATAGGAATGTTGTACTGAAATAAATTCATTTCCTCATCCTCATCCAGCCTCAGCTTATTTCCTGGGGGACGATGCTCTGTAGGACCAGTGCACACACACAGTTTCTGTGCAAGCATGTATATAGTGTATAGAGAGGTCCAATGCAGAGGCAAGCGGGGGAGGAAGTCAACAACAGCAGCAGCAGGAAGAGTCTCCCCCACCCCGTGTACCCCCCCTCTCTGTCTCTCTCTGTGTCTCTGTCTCTGTCTCTCTGTCTCTGTCTCTCTCTTTCTCTCTCTCTCTTTCTCCCTCTCCCTCTCTGTGGCAGGGCATTGACAAGCAAAGGCCTCACACAGACGTGCTGAAGAACACATCACCACAAACTGCTCTGGGAGCTGTTAAAGCTGCTGTTTAATGTTTATCCAATGGCCTCCGTCAAAAAGGCTCTGTAGAACACGCTTAACACTAGCTGAGCTTTATACCCTATTAGCACTCAAATTCCTAGCTGGTCAGAGGCACATGGTACTGACCAGAGAAGGGTAGTCTATATGGGGGTTGGGGAGAAGGGTACACAGAGATGTGGAGATAGATGAGGTTTCTAGGTATCTGGGAGATACTCAAAGGAGAGAGCAAACACTCCCATGTGGGACAATAGAAAAGGTCAAAGGCAATCTTTGTCTTTGATGACATCACCAGTTGTCTTCCCCTGTGAGACACAAATAAAAGAAAGGCATTATCTCAGATCTCAGACCTGGTGATTTTCTACTTCATCACTGATGACATGTAGGGCCTCTTTCAGAATCCTCTTAGGAATGCAATGACAGCCCATATCTTGTTTCTAGTCTTCTGCATTCCAGGAGAAAAACAAAGCCTTTGTAGAGCTTTCACTCGAAGCCAAAAAGAATAGCTACATTACAGTTAGTATTTTGTCTAGGAATAGGACATTCTTTCTGCCTCTATATGACCTAAAAGGGGAGAAATAAAAACTAATGAGTGGCGAAGAGTGTCATGGAACACAGTTCTCTAAGAGAAGTGCCCAGGGATAAATAGTCACTATCAAGATGTCAGGGCAGACATTGAGGCAAGTCTTGTGTCCAGAAAGGAACTAAAGTGGAACAATGTTTAGTTGATCTATGTGTCCCCAATGCCTACCATAGCACTTGACAGGGCCCAATACACACACACACACACACACACACACACACACACACACACACATACACACACACACCAGTCTTTTTACTTCTCTCTCTTTGTCATGTTTCACATCCATCTACTATCCATGTATTCATTGTCCTAGCTCAGGGATCATAAACTCTTACCTGAACTGCTGCAGAAGCCTCCAAGCTCCCTCCCTGTCTCCAATGTGGTCTCAACAGCAACTGGTACAACCTTCTAAAACCCAAATATGACACTGTCATGCCTACTTAAGATTCTTCAGTGGCTTTCAACAGTTACCAGAATAAAATTGGATGTGTTCATCCTTCTATTACCTGCTATATCACTTTGCTAGGGCTGCTGCAACCAAATTTCACAGACTGAGTGGTTTAAACAATAGAAGTTTACTTCCTCACATGTCTGAATGCTGGGATGCCAAGAACAACGTGTTGACATATCTGGTTTCCCCTGAGTCTCCTTTGTGGCATTCAGAAACCTAGCTTCTTGTCACATCCTGATATATTTATCCATGAGTGTATGTGCCTTTCTTATATCTCTTTCTCTTATTATGTAAACATTTGTCCCTTTGGATTAGCACCTCTCCCCTTATGATCACCATTAATCAAGGCTCTATGGTCAAATACAGACACAGTGGGGGTTAAGATTTTAATAGATTAATTTGGAGAGGATGTAATTTACTCTGTAATACCTGGCCAGTGTCTCCCACCTCGTTTGCCTTACTAAACTTTTTCTTAGTTGCCTAGATGAGCCATGTAGTGTCTTGCCCTGGACCCAGATTGTCCTCAACTCTACTTCTTCCTCAATTTCCACCCCATTTGTCCTCCCCTACTTGTCATCTCAGCCCCTATTTAATTACTTCTCTGATAATATCCTGTCCAGGTAAAGTGGTCTTCTACCCTCACTGTTGCCCTTTCTTATAACATAGAGAATAGTTGCTAATGGTTCTTCTGAAGTCATTTGAGGATAGATGTTCTGTCATAGTCATTTTGTAATCTCCAAACCCCAGCAACAAGCTTTTGTTGGGGATGGTACATTCAATGTCTTAACTGAGTGAGGGGGCAAATGGAATAAACCAGGCCAAGTTAAGTGAGCAACGTAGGAATGGAAAGCAATACTCAATGAACTATACCTAAATAATCCACAAGATGCATATTAGATTTATACGAATGGCAGGTCTTGTCTAAAAAGCTGTTGACTGAGTAGAATAACATCTGATTTCTCCAGAAACTTGTCTAAAAGTTTCTTTTTTAAAATTTTCATTTATTTTTTTATTGTGAAAATACTGTACAATATACTTGGAGCTCAAAAAATTAAATCCCCCAACAACAAATCCTCGAAGAAACAACTGCCCAATAAATAAGTGGGCTAAAGACTTGAAGAGAAACTTCTCTGAAGAAGAAAGAAGGATGGCCAACAGACACATGAAGAAATGCTCAACCTCCCTAGCCATAAAAGAAATGCAAATCAAACAACATTGAGATACCACCTCACCCAAGTTAGAATGGCTATAATCAAGAACTCTAACAACAACAGATGCTGGAGGGGATGTGGTCAGAAGGGAACCTTACTTCATTGTTGGTGGGAGTGTAAACTTGTTCAACCACTTTGGAAAGCAGTATGGAGGTTCCTGAAAAGACTTCACATAGAGCTCCCCTATGACCCAGCAATCCCACTTTTGGGCATTTACCCAAATGTTTACAAACAAGACCACACTAAAGCTACTAGCACAACTATGTTTATTGCAGCATTATTTACCATAGCTAAGATATGGAACCAACCCAGATGCCCTTCAGTAGATGAATGGATCAAGAAAATGTGGTGTATATACAAAATGGAATTCTATGCCTCCATCAGAAAGAATCACATTTTCCCATTTGTTAAGAAATGGAAAGGCTTGGAAAAAATTATATTAAGTGAAGTAAGCCAAGCCCAAGGAAACAAAGTCCCATGGTTTCCCTTATTTGCAATATCTAGTATATGTATGAGTCAAGCAGGAAAGGTCAGATAATGTGATGTTAGGAAAATGAACCCTTAGATGCTTTCACTATATTTGATGTTGGTATAATTTGTGGAGGATATGGGGAAAAACAAGTCGGTTAAGGATACAGGTGGACCCGATGCAACTATGAGAAGTACAAGTTGTCATGTCAAAAACGAACTTTACAACTTTGGGGGGGCGGGATTGGGTGGGGGGCTGGGGGGAGGCTGGGAAGGGATGTGAAGGGTAAACAAAGGAGGAGGCTGCAATGCTTGATAAGAAATGTACTCATTATCTTGCCCATGTAATTGTAACCCCTCTGTACAATCTGTTCACAAAAAAATTAAAATTAAAATTAAAAAAAAGAAAATACTGTACAGAGGGGTTACAATTACTTGGGCAAGATAATGAGTACATTTTTGTCTAAAAGTTTCTATGACTTGCCTTTTTTATGCATCCTCAGGACAGTGAGAGAGACCAGTCTATTATAGCCACCCAGAGCAATAGTCCTCAGAATTACCTAAGAGGATATCTGGGGCCCCACCCCAAAGGTTTCTTGCTCAATAGTTCTAGGAAGAAGCCTGAGAATTTGCATTTGCATTTCTAACAATTTCACACGTGATGCTATTGTTGCTGGCCTGTTGACAGCATTCAGAAAACCATTGCTCTAGAAGATTCCTCTAAAATTTTTGAAAAATTTTGCATTGTGTTAGAAATGGCACAGGTGATAAATATATTTACCAGAGCATGTCACTAATGATCCCCTGTTCCACTATTAGGCAACACTAATGTTGCTGAAATCTGAGGGAGGAGAAAACAATAAGCCAATTTCTCCTTTAAGGTAAAACTGCATCTAGAAAGATGTGGTAACTTAATGGTGTGTGTTCTGTTCTTTTTCCAGGTGCGATTAGAATGGCCAACAGACCTTGCAGTCAATCCCATGGACAATTCGTTGTATGTCTTGGATAACAATATTGTGCTGCAAATTTCTGAGAACAGGCGTGTGCGGATCATCGCAGGGCGCCCCATTCACTGTCAGGTGCCGGGCATCGATCATTTCTTGGTCAGCAAGGTAGCAATTCACTCTACTCTGGAGTCAGCTAGAGCCATCAGCGTCTCCCACAGCGGGCTGCTCTTCATCGCTGAAACAGATGAGAGAAAAGTAAACCGCATTCAGCAAGTGACCACCAATGGGGAGATCTCCATCATTGCCGGTGCCCCCACTGACTGTGACTGCAAAATTGATCCCAACTGTGACTGTTTTTCAGGTATGACCTTTTTAGCAATTCACCAGTTCCCCCTCTCTGTTTTCAAAAGTAAAATGTGCATCAGAAAGCTCAAAAGGAAAACGAAAGGCTTCCTTATAAACAATAGTGTGACCTTGTGGAGAGAACCATGCATTAGGAGTCACATCACCTAAAGTTGCTCTGACAATTTATTCCCTGAGTGAGCCTTAGAGGAAAAAAAATCATAAAACCTCTTCCTGACTCATTTGCCTTATTTGTTAAATAGAGATAAACTCCTGCCTGTCATATCACCTTGCCAGTCGAAAGATAAACTAGCATAATAAAAGACTCTTAAATAGTTAATAATCATTGTACAAATGTAAGATCATGACATTATTTGTGCTTTAAGAAACCTAAAACTAGCTTTAAAAGGCACATTTACTGATTTAGCTAAAGACAGAATAATACTTTTCCTAGGTGACTAACTGGTTTCCAGATTCAAAGCAGGTATATTTTGAGACTCAGAAAAACTTAGAACACACTGTTCTGGAGATACATGGGCAAAAGTCAGTCCAATGATGGAAATTTTTCCTGATGCCAGTCTGATGTATACTCTGTTTGCTTGTTTTTTAATCTAAAACTCTCGCAACAGTGTTATTTACTTTTAATTGAAATAAGGGCAAAATGATCCTTTTTCCCAAAATATGGAATAAGTATTTCACATAGCAGTCTTCTAAATGTCAGCAGATGTATCTATTGTTGGGATGTAGAAATCACTCCATACCCCATACTATGACAAGCAACTCTATATTACTCAGCAGGATGGGGTTGGGAGGGATGGGATAGAATAAGGTAAGGGGGGATTTTGATCAACATGCATTGTACTTGTACACTGATGTGTTGAACTGAAACTCCTTTGCACAACTACTTAAGGATAATAAAACATAATTTTAAAAATAAACTTCATCCAGGCCCAAATGGTCTTCTTAATTTTTGCCTTTTGTTAGGCCAGGGAAATCAGAAGTGAGCAATTTGGTGCTTATGACTTTCGATCAGCAATTTAAACACTTTCCTGGGCAATGCATTTTATAGAAATTTTGCCAATTTGTATCTTTCTTTCAAGACAAATCTGCTGTTTAATTCTAGTTTTCAAATTTGGTGTTCTGAATCACTGTCACACTTATAGACTTTGTATACTTTAACAATGTAACAATGGGAAGTAACAGAAAAAAAAAACACGCCTGAAACAGATCCTAAAAGCAGTGACAGTCTTTAGGCTCATGGACTTCCAGCCAGTTATTTTGTGGCTATTATTATTTACTGTTCTATCTTGCAATACAATAGATTCCGAACAGCAGGATTGAGGATTTCATAAAATTGGTGTAACTGAGATAATTACATCTTACTGTTCATCTTTAGTGGTACTGACTCAAGAATTACAATTTTTTGAATAATGGGTTTCAAAATTGTCAAGGATACCATGCAGAGTATGTTAGTCCACTGATTTTTTTTTTACTTTAAAATGATTGTTGATGCACTGTGATTTCTGTCTATGCTATGTTCATACTAATGCTTCTAAAGGTAATTACTAAAATCAAGGCCTTTCTTCCACAGGTGATGGAGGCTACGCCAAAGATGCAAAGATGAAAGCCCCTTCCTCCTTAGCAGTGTCACCTGATGGTACCCTGTATGTGGCAGACCTTGGGAATGTTCGAATTCGTACCATCAGCAAGAACCAAGCCCATTTAAATGATATGAACCTTTATGAGATTGCCTCCCCTGCCGATCAGGAACTCTACCAATTCACTGTCAATGGAACCCATTTGCACACTCTGAATTTGATCACAAGAGACTATGTGTATAACTTCACCTACAATGCTGAAGGTGATTTGGGTGCAATCACAAGCAGCAATGGCAATTCAGTGCACATTCGCCGTGATGCAGGTGGGATGCCCCTTTGGCTTGTGGTACCTGGCGGGCAGGTATACTGGCTAACCATAAGCAGCAATGGCGTCCTAAAAAGAGTGTCGGCCCAAGGCTATAATCTGGCCTTGATGACTTATCCAGGAAACACAGGACTTCTAGCTACTAAAAGTAATGAAAATGGATGGACAACTGTTTATGAGTAAGTTTTCAATTCTCAACATAGCCTTTGTTACATTTTTATTTGAAATTGTATCACAGTAGGAAAATGGCTTAGTAATTGCTGGCTATTACATTCTATTTTCACCTAACAATCAAAAAATTAAAAGAAAAATATTCAAGGAAAAAAATGTTATCAACTCCTAGGGTTTAGACCCATTTCTCCTGAGCAGTTTGTGAAGGATAATAAAAGCATAGAATGAATGAAAAAGGAATGAAATGTGGCACTGCAGGAAATAGGAATTGATAAGTCCAGATACTCAAAGAATGTACACAATACTTAGAGAAGACTAGGTAAAGCTGCATTTAAATAACAAAACTAGAGAGTAGTTCTAACACAGTGTGATTTAACAGGTATTTATAGATCCTTGCGGGATTTAATAAATGAATAAATAAATGCATGTCTGTAACCAACTCAGTTTAACTTACTACAGAAGATAAGAGAGAGGTTAGAATATATGAAGTGAGCCCTGAAAAGCACTGTAGAGTTTCTGCAGAGTAAATGCTGAATAGTAACTTCATTCCATTGAATGCTTCTGGGAAATGTGGAGCCAAATGTTCCTGTGCAGGCTTAGGCTTTATTAGTGTCCCTGTATAAGTCAAAGAATCTGCACATGTTGGCACTTATAGACTAATCCTGTGATAACTTTGTTTAAATGAGAACTAACACAAACTGCATGTAACAGCAACCTACTCAGAGGTGTCATGACACAGAAATAGAGACCATTGTCCTTGCCTTTTAAAACATGGACAACATTGGTTGTAAGTCAATCCATTTAGCCAGCGAGTCTACAAACACTCAGGAAGTATTTTCTCCACAAAGGAAAATGCTACATTTTCACTAATGTGTTAAGGGAGGAGGATCCATGGGACTGGAATTGAATAAAAGCTGAAGACTGTTAAGAAGTGGCGGTATTAAAAAATGAGGGGTTCCAAGTGTTACTAGTCTTGGAAGAATGTATGGAATATGAAGAAAATATGTCTTGTCCAACAAAAGCCTCCAGAGGAAAAGGACAAAACAATCAGCTTTCAAGTTTTGGATCATTTCCCAAAGAAATGCCATTTACACTAAAGAGCTAGATAGCTATTCTGGTTTCCTTTAGAAAAAAAATGCATTCGATTTTTTTCTATTGCAAGTCTTCCTCTATTTTTAAAATGTTTCTCTTATATCTCAATAAGAGTAGTGAAAGCTACTGCTCACTGAAGATTTACTAACTGCTAGATACTGAGCTAGGTGATTAGCAGAAACTATTTCATCTGACTTCCATAATAATAACAATGGTGCTCTAGTGTGACCATTACATTGATGAGGAAACTAAGACCAAAAAGTCAATTTGTCCCTATTCACAAACATGAACAGAATTCATAACCCAATAATGTGACTAAAGTGCCCACATTTTAAAACAATGTTTTAAGGAGTTGAAAAAAAACTTGAGCAGGCACTGGTAGTTCATGCCAATAAATCTAGCTACTCAGAAGGCTGAGATCTGAAAATTGAGATTTGAAGCCAGCCCAAGGAGGAAAGTCAGTCAGACACCTATTTCCAACTAACCACAAAAAGCTGAAAATGGAGCTATGGCTACAGTGGCAGAGCAGTAGCCTTGAGTAAAAGAGTGCAGAGACAGCATCCAAGCCCCAAGTTCAAGCCCCTAGGACTGCCACAAAAAAAATCATCTCATGTGAGATCACATTGCAGCTGAAAATAGGAAAACAAGTATTCTAAAACCTATAAGTTGAAATAAAATACGTGAGTGATCTAGTTTTTGAAATAATTAAGCTATCCTTTCACTTATTCAATAAATACTATGTTCCATTTGATGTTCTAGGTTGTAGAGTATAGCTATGAACCAAACAGGTAAAAATTCTTACCTCCATGGTGTTTGCATTGTAGAAGAAGGAGTCCATATAAGTAAGGACTGGAACTTCAAATGGTGATAGACATAGATGGATAAGGAAGGGAGGGAGGAGGGAGGGAGGGAGGAAGGGAGGGAAGGAAGGAAGGAAGGAAGGAAGGAAGGAAGGAAGGAAGGAAGGAAGGAA